TCAGTCACCGTGGCTCAGGGTGGCTGGGACTGTCCCCTCCTTGGGGCAGGGCTGCAGCCATTATCTGAGCTCACCTGCTGCCCTCTCTACTGAGGATTCCACAGGCGCCCAGTCAAGAGACATTTACTGAGCACCTTCTGCATGCAGGTGCCTGGGCCAGGAGCTCGAGGGGCTCCGTGCCAGCAGGGCAGGCTGATGATCAGCGGTGAGCAAATGGGTAGTAGAGAGTGAGGGCTGGGCAAAGGGCAGCGGGTGGCACACGAGGGGCCTCTTTAGCGGGGGTGGCGTGTTACAGAGGGCAAAGGACCTGGTGGAGGATTGGCCAGGGGCAAAGGGGAGAAGAGGAAGGCAGAGATGGCCGCTTTTGCTCTCCTTACCACCCACTCCCTGCCTCCAGGTGCCTCCTGTAGCCAGGATCTGAGCCTCCGTCCAGGGCTTTAACCACACGGCCTGACTCATGCTGAACCTGAGCTTCCTGCTGCTGGGGGTGGCATCTCCCACCGTAACCATATTGTACAAAACCCCCTTCCCTTGACTCTTTGGGGCCCCCAGCCCCAACCCCACGGGACTGGGAGGACCACCTGCCTCCAAGGGAAGACAGGCAGTTTGAGGCATGGCCTGGCAGGGGTGCACAAGGCTGCGTGGCCAAGGGAATAGTCACAGAGTCTCCCTTGCTTCCCTTTGTTCGGCGACAGACAGTGTTCCTTTGATGGACACTTAATTCCAGAGACTGCTACCTGCTTCCTATCTCTCTTTGCTCAAAAAATTAAATGCAGAGGTGCCTGTGCTCCTGCTGTAATGATCTCCCTCCGTGTAGGGGGTGTGGCCAGAGAGGGAGAACACTGAAATCTTCAAAGAGGGACAATTATTGAGGGAACTAGATTAATGAGGTGTCATAACAACTTAGCCAGATCTGCAGCTGACCTTTCTCATGGAGAATGGGCTTGATAAATGTAGTTCATTACCAAGTTCTGACATGAAAATAGGATCACACTCTGGGCTCCTCAGCAGGCTGATCAATATTTTATCTGCCAATGCAGCCTTAGGCTGGGAGCGGAGGAGGCCTGCACACACATGCTGGCAGGAAGCCCGCGGCCTGTGCTGGGGGCGGCCAGGCGGGCAGGAAGGTGGCTGGCTTCTTCCAAGGGCCTGTCAGAGGTGCTCATCCGTCAGGCTGACCAGGACAGGAGCCTCCCTCCCTGAGGCCCCAGAATGTCCGTGGCGGTGGGAAGGGAGGGAGGAAATCCCGTTTATCCACAAAGACAGATCCAGTGGCCTCCTGTGCCAGGCACTGGGCATGGGGGAAGGGGACAAAGGCAAACGAGCAGGCCCATTTCATCCAGAGAAGGTCTGAGGCCTGGCTGATCACTTGGCCTTTGCAAAGTCCTCTAACATTTCCTTTTAAATTATGACCCTGTAAGGTGGTAAGAGGCTGTTAGTGCCCTCATTCTAAGGTAGGAGACAAGGCAGAAAGGCAGGTGATGGGATTCCTCTCCTGGGGTCTCACAGCTAACCAGCGGCAGAGCAGACCGTGTCCTGACTCGCCATGCAGTGCTCACCCCAGCCTTGCTATGCTTCTCAGTAACGGAGCTGGTGTCAGGTAGACAGAGCTGGCCTGTGATGACGTCCATCTCTACCATTAGACTGCAGGCAAGTCTGTGTAACACGAGGCTGATCACGCTGGGTGGTCCCATCACACAGGCTTCTTTATGAGACAGTCTGCGGGCCAGTGGACTCAGTTCTCAACCAAATTCACTAGTTACTCCATTCCACCAGCATGTAACACTCTAATGCTGCATATGTAACTGTCCGGTCCAGTCCCACCTGCTTGAAACATGCACCCCGTGTTGGGGATGTAGCAGGTGCTAGCACCCAATCCAGATTCCCTGGGCCAACCCCAAGGCTGTGTGCAACTCTGGTGGAATGACTGCCCACTAGCACCCAACCTCAGGTAGCTGCGCCTTCAGCCTGACGGTGCTTTCTGGGCTCAGCAGCCTGCTGGGTCCTCATCCGGGGACTGCAGAGTACTGCACGGAAACGCTCTGGAGACACTAGAGGAGCTCAGTCCCACTGGGCCAATGATTTAGTTCCTGGAGGTTGAGGCTCACATAAAGCACAGCTGCTCCTGAGATAAGGAAGGATTTAAGGTTCTCTTCCAGAAGCCCTCTTAGGGCCCTGCACCCTCACCAGCCAGGCACGGGAGGTGCCCTGGGTAAAGAAGGACCCTGGAAGTTCTGTGAAGTGTGGTCTGCAGCTCCCAGCACCCACCGCAGCTCCCACACTTCCCGTAGCCTCGCCGTGCTCCCCGCTGCCCTGGCCCAGCCACGCCAGCTGCCTGTCCCCAGGCGCACTGTGCACTTGCTCCAGGGCCTGGGATGCCTGCTGCCCTGCACGCGCTTCCCACCACCTCCTCCTACGTGCTCCCTCGTCTGTAGGTCTCATCCTGGCTGCCTCTCCCTTAGGGAGACTTCTTTCACCTCACCGGCCTCATTAGTTCCCCTCCAAGGGCACCCTTGATGCCCGGGAAGGGAAGGTCCACCGTATCCCCAGTGTGCCGCCTGGCATCAGCACAGAGTTTGTAAGTCAACTGGGAAATGGATGGGAAGGGCAGGGTCAGTGTGGGCCTTAGCAGGGGGCAAGACCAGGGACACAGGGAGCTGACTCGGGGGCTGGGAGGACCGTCTCTCCCCCCAGGTGGGTTTCTGGACATGTGCATACCTTCCTGACCAGGAGGAGTGGGCCGTTGCCAGGGTGAAGCTGGAAGCCTGTGACCAGAGGGAACTGTAGGTAGGGGTGTGATAGGAGGGGCAGAGCCAGGGCTGCAGCCCCCACCCCCTGCAGGACCCACCTGGAGGAGGCTCTGCGTGCAAAGTCCTGGCTTTCAGCAGCAGGTAGGCAGAGATCTGTGCCCCACAAGCCCTGTGAGGAAGTGAGGAAGGCTGGGGTGGGGGACAGGGAGGATGAGGCGTCTCTGGCCATCTGACCTGACCCGGCCCATCCTCGGGTGGCCCTGCTGGGGCTTATTCTTAGGAGCCTGAGCGCCTGTTAGCATTTCTGAGTCAAGCCTCCTGTCCACCCCTTATCTATCCACTGTGTACCCAGCCTTGTAGCATCTGGGCATGGATGCCCGCCCCTGGAAAGCCTGAGGCCCTGCCAGTAATGGGTCCCTGCAGGCCCTATACACAGACTCCCTTGCCATCTGCACCACAGCCTCTGTCTCCTTCATGCACTGTGCCCGACTTCCGGTCTATTTGCCCAGACATGATTTCACTCACCTGGGGGCTCAGAAGAAAGATTTGGACAAAATTATTCCTCTTCTTTCCCAAACTGACCATTATCCAGACCCAGGAAGAAGAAAACCCCAGAAGGCCACCACATTGTCCCTGGACAGGAGTGGTTTTATAGTAGGACAAGGTCATTGTTTTCAGCACTCTGCTATGCGGACCGGAGAATCAGGATAGACAACTGGTGACCCTAAGGGCTCCCAGGAATGGGTATCCCACTGGCCCAGAGGGATGCTAGCCGGGTGAGAGGGATGGGAGAGCCCTTCTTGTCAGAGAGTGGAGACTTCCAGAGAGCAAATAGATTTGATTATATTGAACACAGCAATTGATTTTTTTCTAAATAAACATGCAGAAGGAAATGGTAACAGCCATATGTTTCTCACAAGAATCAATTGACCCCAAATTGGAAGAAAATCTAGAAACACAATAAGCACAAGAGAAAGTAGTTGTACCACCCAGGCCTGTCTAGTGAGAAGTGGTGGGAGGGAGGGAAACAGACAGACAAATGACAGGCTTCCCCGTCAGCACGTCCCCCACCAAGTAGCTTCTCTGCTTGCTGCTCTTGGGCAAATGTGGCTCCAGTGCTGGGAAGGGGGAGGGTAGGTGGCATTTACAAGCCCTTCTTCAGGGCCAGGCCAGCGCTAAGCCCTTTCTGTGCAGATTTTATTTAATCCTCATGACAGGCCTATGGGCAAACTCTGTTCTTCCCAGTGCACAGAGGGAGCTGTTGCCCAAGATACGCATCCAGGCAGCAGCAGAGGTGGTTCTTAGATCCCCGTGGCCTCCAGGGCTGGTGCCCTCTAGCACCCCTTTATACTCACTCTCCGCCCCCGAACTGTTACCTGGTACCCTAAACTGGCCTGGGGATTAAGAGGAAGAGCTCCAAGCAGCAGTCTGTTCCCAGCAGCGCACGGCCTTCCACCCCAGCAGAGCTGGCTGCTGCCAGAAGTACTGCGTCCCTCCACCCCGCCCCACGCTGCTCCAGGGTCCTGCCCCCAGCAGCCTAGCAGCCTCACTGTGTGGGCTGAGCCTGGTGCGGTATTCATCCCAGTGGCCTGTCACCAGCAAGATAAGCTGTGTCACATGGCAGTGCACCACAGGCCTCATTTGCCAAACGCTGTGCAGTTCTGATGCGGCTCAGTGAGCCAGCCTGTGATCAAGGGCCTGAGAGGGAAGGGCTGTGTGCTTGGGTTTTAATTTCGTAAAGCTTCCTCTTGTTTCTTGGTCAAAGCCTGTGTACACATGTTTGTTTTGAAGTAAGCCAGTTCTGGGAGAGCACCTAATCAACTTAAACTGGGTTTATTAGTCCTGTTCATTTAAACTCCCTAATCTATGAGGCCAAGTATTCAAAAGCAGCCTTTAAGGTAGGATTAAAGAAAGACAGCTACTACAGACAGACTGGGGCCAGCTTGCCGAAATCTGCTGTGGGGCTCTCACCGTGAATTCCCCTGGGTGAACTTCCCCGTCCCTCCAGCAGTCACTCTGCCTAGCATGTGGTAGGTGCTCAATAAATATCTATGGGAGAGATTGGAGGTAGATGGCAAACAGGTGTCATCTACTCCAACTGTCCCTGACTGCAATAAAGGTTCAGCCCTGTCAGGCCCAGGGGCACAGCCCCTTACCATGTGTACCACGAGAAACTCTTTTGGGATGGGCCAACATTCTCTCAAGACCAAGGGAGGGGGCTCACTGCCATAATGTCATCTTGTCTTCCAGGTGACCCATGCACCATGGCCGACTACGCCCGCCTGAAGAATGTCCTTCTAGCACTCCAGACCCACCTGCAGCCACTCCAAGAAGGCGACAGCAGACAAGACCCTGCCTCCCAGAAGCGCCTCCTGGTGGACTCTTTGTTTAAGTACTTGGACGCAGATGGTGACGGCCACCTCATCAGCTCTGAACTGGCTCAGGTAAGAAGAGCATTCAGTGAAAATTGGATTACAGGGGAATCCAGTTTCCATTCGGCATGTAATGAAGAGAACCACGGGGATGCATGTGAGGAGACTCGTTTGTGTCGGTCCCTGTAGCAGGACAGCAATTGCTGTCTCCTGCAAGAGAGACCCTTCTCCTGGGACATGGAGAGCTGCTGTTCAATGTCCCTGAAAGTATCTTACAAACAAACAGTGTCGGTATCTTCTTCCCACCAGCCACTTTCAGCCAATATTTACAAACAAGCTTTGAAGGACTCTCAGCGAGCTGGCAAAATACACTTCCAAGGGGCTGGACTCTGCTGTTTTCGTTAGGAAATAAATCTTTCCTTCCTTGAGCCCTTTACTTTTCTTTGGGGCTGTAACCTGGGCATCCCCGAGTCCTCGGCCCAGGATTTTGCCATTCTTTGATCCAGACAGCAGCAGCCCAAGCCCCAGCCTGCTGGCCTGCAGGAAGCCCTGCGTCCACCCCCAGCACTGCTCTTACATTTGAGGAAACACTTAGATTGCCTCCCTTCCAAACACAGCACACGTGGCCCTTTGTCCAGCTGACACAAAGGCAGTCATTGTCTGCAACAGGAGGGAGTGTGGAAGGAGCAACCCGGACCCCAGCCACTGCCAGCTGCGGGCAGGGCCTGTGGGGGCTAGTGGCAGAAAGGCAGGCGGGGTGGGCCAAAGGGCCTGCAGGCCTGCTTCTGCTCTGTGGGCTTGCCTGTCAGGGCCTGGGGTCCTGGAGCCTCAGGCAGGTACAAAGATATGCAAGGAGGGTGAGCTCAGGCTCCCAAGCAGGCTGGTGGGGTGGGGATGCTCACCCAGAGAGCAGATAAGAAGGATGAGTGCCCGCCTTTGATGCCACTCTAAAGAAATCCTTTACATGGCACAGTGACCTCATCAAAGCTGTGGCCAGGTCACTGGGAGGTACTGGGCTGGGAAGCATTTACCGAGCGCCCACTGTGTGCTCTGCACTGAACAAGGCCCTTTACCTGTTATGTAAAGAACACAGAGGAGTCCTTTACTGTGGACTGTAGCCAAGAACGCAGACATTATGGCCACACTGCCTGTGTCCAACCCCCGCCTCCAGCATTTACTAGCTAGTAGGTCTTGGGAGACAACATTACTTCTCTGTGCCTCCATTCACTGTTTATGAGCAGCACAGGGTCATCGGGCAGGTATAATGAGCCCAGATATGCAAAGTGCTTGGCACAGTGCCTGGCACATGGTACGTTCTTGGTAGACGACCAAGGTCAGCCTCACTGTCATCTTCATCGTCTTTGTTAGCATTTCCTCTTTAAGCCTCCCAGCCATCCTCTGCCGTGAGGCAGCTACACTTCACAGATACTTTTAGATTAGGAAGCTAAGACTCCAAGCAATCAAGCAGGTTGCCTGAGTTGTGTTCAATGTCAAGGACATGAGAAGGCTAAGATGAACCCCGGCGGGCTGATGTGTGTGCCCCTGCTCTCCTCATGGCACAGGGGTCTCCCTGGGGGATAGTGGCTCCCATGAGGAGGAGCCACCTAGTCCTCAGGTCTGGGGGCCAGCAAGTGTCCACGAAACCTGAGTGTGGAGCAATGACCCCGAGGCTTTGCCACAGTGGGTCCCCCTCTCCAGGCCCTCTTCTCCAGCCAGTCCAGAGCCTGCTTCTAGGAAGCCCTCCAGGAAGTGCATTCCAGGTCCTAAGGCACCTGCAGACCTCGCTCTGCTCTCCCACAGCTGGGCAAATCTGCTGCCACCGCCTCCCAGGCACACACCACCTCATGCCACCAGGCATGCCAGCCAGCATGCCACCACCTCCATCAACACTCAGCCCCCAGGTACAGCTAAGACCCCAGAGGCAGGGCCAGGGCCTCACAGCTGAGCCAAGCTGCTCTGGGAAAAGCCCAGGTCCTGTTAGTTACGGTCACCTGCAGAAAGAACCCCCTGGTGATTCCCTGGCTACAGGCTGTGCAAGGAGTGCTGAGGGCAGGTAGCTTTGGCTTAGCCTGGACTGAAGCAACTGGGGGTCTTGGCACCCGAGGCCCCCTGGGCTCCTAGGTGGCTGACAAGTAAACAGAACCCTCCTGGGCATGTTGCTCTAACCTGGCAGAGATGTGCCCCAGGGCACCTGAAGCCATTAACAAGCTTGGTAATTGGACTGTGATTCCTCTTTAAATTTTAATGCATTTAAAGTCCATTTCATAAATCTGCCAAGCAGAGCCCAGCTAAAGTGGGCCTTTCCTTGATACTGAATCAAAGACTTCAGGGAAAAACTTGTTGGTCCTACGAAAAGTTAATCAATTTCCAATGCAGAAAAAGACAGAGGGAAATTTCCATCTTTGGAAGATTGATTTCAGGCGTTATGGTTGGTCTCCCTTTTATCGAACACCCTTACTTGCTGGGTGAAGGGTCATTTTTTTTAACATTATCACATTAAATTGTCTTTAAAATAGCAGGCCAACCTGAGACTGTTAAATAAAGAGAAAATGCCTCTATCTCCCTCTCCCCACCCCCAAATATATTAAATCATTTCCTTTCTCCTGAGAGGCATTCTGAGCATTTTCCTTGTAAGACTGTAGTTCCAGACACCCCAGCCTCTGGTTCTGGCTTAATGAGGATGCCTGGAATTTGTACCTTAGTCACCTTTTGGCATGTGGCTGGTCATGCTGATGAGGCCTGTGCACCCTGTGGCCCATGCCCCATCCAGAGATAAGTTCACAAGGGCCTATCCATGGCCCCATGCCAGCCTCCCAGGCTGATGCCTGTGTCCCTGGCAGGACAGGGTAGGCAGAGATGGGGAGTTCAGGCCTAGGTCAAAATGGCTGTTACCCCTTCCTGGGGGGTGCACTGTGGCTGGGAGGCACTACCCTGAGGTCAGAGAGGGCTGAAGTGGGTGGGAGGGATGCACCGGCAGAACCGTGACCTTCCAGCTCTGCACAGCTGGGAGCCGGGACCTCTGTTCCCACACTGAGTTCAGCCACTACTCTTGACCCTTGAACCACACGAGTTTGAACTGCACAAGTCCACTTTTAAACAGATTTTTTTCAATATATTGGAAAAATTTGTGGAAATTTGTGACAACTTGAAAATACATATTCTTTTCTCTAGCTTACTTTATTGTAAGAATACAGTATTTAACACATATAACATACAAAATATGTGTTAATCAACTATGTCATCAGTAAGGCTTCTGGTCAACAGTAGGCTGTTAGCAGTTAAGTTTGGGGAATCAAAAGTTATATGTGGATTTTCCACTATGCAGCGGTCAATACCCCTAACCCCCATATTGTCCAAGGGTCAACTGTATTTATTTGCTGCATTTATCTGATCAGGCCCCTTCTCTTCTGTCTCCCCATCCATGGGATGAAGGGGTACACCAGGCGGCCTCAGGATCTTCCCATCTTAGACTGTCCAGGGTCCATCCGCCCATGTGGGGAGGAGACACACCCGAATGCTAATCGCACTCTGCCCCAGACACTGTGTGAGTCTCCTCCCCTCTGTGAGCCTCAGTTTTATCATCTCTAAATAGGAGAGTCGGACAAGACAAAACCCAAGTGCTTCAGGTGCTCCTGGAATTTGCGGAGCTGCCGCTGGAGTCCTCACCCCTCCGGCAGGCAGTGACCCGGCGCCCCGGCCCGAGTCATTCTCCAGCTCTGCCCACAGCTCTGCACTCACTCCTGGCCCCGTCCTTGTCCCCTTCTTCACCCACAGCACGTGCTGAAGGAGCATGACCTGGAGGAGGACGTCCTGGGGTGCTCGCCCGGTGACCTCCTCCGATTTGATGACTACAACAGCGACGGCTCCCTGACGCTGCCCGAGTTCCACACAGCCTTCCGTAAGTAGGCCCCACCGGGCCCCGGGGCACGTGACTTGCTTCCACAGGCATCCGCGTGCTGGACTGGTGTCAGGAGTCTGCAGTCTGTTCACAGTTGTCCCCCAGGTTGGTTTCTTTTATAAATGCTGAATTTGTTTTGCAACAAGTCTGCCCTTTTAAGTAAGGGGCAAAGGACAATGTGTGGGAGAGAGGCCCCTGTGCTCACTCTGTGCCTTTTGGGTTAAGGCTCTTCTTGCTGACATTTGAAGAACCCCAGACTGCTATTTGGGCATGGCTGGGAGGGCACTGCCAGACCCCCTGAGGGATTCTGTGGCTGTACATGGAGCAGATCTGGGGGTGGTGCCCAGGCTGTGGTCTGGTCCCACGGGGGAGCCCTGCCTGGGGCAAACCCTGCAGAGGGCTCCGGCCGCTTGGCCTGGCAGGAACAGGGAGCTCCAGCAGAGAGCTCCCAGAGGTCAGCAGTGAGGGGGGGGTTGCAGCCCTGAGCCCAAACTTGGGGCAAGAAGGGTCATTCTTGACCCCAGTGACATGAAACCCCCTTGTCATGATATGTAGATAGCGTTCAGGCTACTAGAGCTTACTGTTGATGCACGCTCAGGAACTGCAGGCCCTAGAATCTGGGGTGTAAGGTGAGATGCCTATGTGAACTAAGCACTCAGAGACACAGATCCTGGTACCCTCGCCCCAGCTCCACCAGGAGTCTCATTGTTCAGAACAGTACTCGGCCTCATGTGGACATGGCTGTGTGCTGTTTTTGTTCCAAACATTCACAGGCCTGAGAAGAAGGGCTCTTGTGGCAAAAGTAGAAGAGTACTTGTATGACATAAGAGGAGAGAAATGACTGTGCTGCTCCCTGTGGGAAGTGTCCATGAACCTGACACGGGTTGCCTTTCCAGTCCACAGCATCCGTATTGCCCAGGACCAAAGTCCAGCCCCAGTTACAAAGCTCTGCTTGAAACACTATCATTAGGTGTGCTTCCCTGTTATCCTTCTCCTGCCCACTGTTGAGATGCCTATCTATACACAGTAGTTCATAATAAAGTGTGAATGACTGCTAGGCTTACCTGCTATGGGAGGTATTTGCTCTGTGAATCAAGGAGTTTACTCCCTGAAATAAATCTCTAAATTTTAGAAGGTGCACAAGTATCAGCAACTCCCTAAACCGAATTCATGAGAGCTGACTGTTAGTTTCAGGAATTTTGCCAATAGTTAAACAGTAGGTAGCTTTAAAATCAGCCATGGTGGGAGCATGTACGACTGCAGAATTTACACCACTCAAATGCCACAGTGGTGTGGGGGCACCTTTCCCCATGTAGAGCCCATTGTTAAGCACTGACCTGCGCATCACTGGACGGGACCCTCCTGTCCCTGCATCCACGTCCTGCAATATCCTATCCATCTGCCTTCCCCAAACCGAGACTCCGATGATTCTAATCCCATAGAACATGAACAAGAAAACGCAGATGTCAGGGCGGATAACAGGGAGAGCAGCGTCCATGTCAGGACAGCAGCAGCAAGTGGCCTGGGGACCGTTCTGGGACACCCCAGCAATGCTTTCCAGGCCCCAGCCCCTCGGCAAAAGGAGCTGAGGAGGAAAAGGTTAGTGCCTTTGAAGTGCCAGGGGCCAAGGCTGGGCTGTGAGGGCATGGGGCACACACTCATCACTGCCCCAACACCCCACGATGGCCTCAGTAAGCAGAGGACCGCACTGCTTGGGCACCGTCTGGTACCCGATACCGCAGGAGATCCGCTCCATGAGTTCTGTTTCTGGGACTCGGTCTGGGGCCCAGCAGGAAGCAAATTGGCTTTACTCTCAAGGAAATGGAAGCATCCCTGTGGCCCAGGGTGAGAGGGCAGGCCTCCCAGCCTCCCTAATGCAGGTCACTATGAACACGAGCTGCCCATGGAGAAGGAGGGGAGTCGTCGCATTGCCTCCAGCCACATGTCGCATGCAGAGCAATGTGGTGTCTATTTCCTTCATCCTTGGATTATTATTTGAAAAGCCTTATAATCATTTTTAAAGCAAATTAGATTCTGTTGTCCCCTTGGACTTGCTTTAAACCAGGCAGCCAGACCATTCATCACAGCCCAACACAAATAACAGATATAGAAGAAAGTGTAAACTCGTAGCCATTAAGGAAGCCGTAAGATGAGTCAACCTTGCTATAAAGGCCGATGCCGGCCGCTCAGAGTGAACGGCGTCAGTGCTTTTCAAAGTCATAGGAACTCTGAATCCCCGTAGCTGTGGGAATGGACTTACGGTCCAGTCGATGTTAAACAGGTAATTGAAGTGAGACATATCGGTGCGACTTATTGCGCAGAAATCAATGGGCATTAAAAGAATCTCACTAAAACTCAGGAAGTGATATCTCAAACATTTTAGACCCAACATTTTGGATTTAATTTTTAAAACTAGAGCTCTTGGGCTGGCAGAGTTGAGACCTAAAAATTATATTTTCTAGACTGTATATTCCCAGGGTCCTGGGTACCAGGCAGGGCAGAGTCTGTGGGGTGATTCCCAGCACAGACCCAGTTGCTCTCTCAAAAGATGGGTTTGGAGACCTCTTCCCTGAAGGAGAGGGTTGTGTTTACAAGTCCCATGATCGCGGAGTCTCCTAAATGATGTCTTCATGCAGCAGGTGGCCCAGCCCAGGCTAGGCAAGTGTATGCCGCTGTGGGCAGCTGGCTCAGGGCAATGGCCAAGCATCCCATGGCTGGTGCTGCTGTGCTCAGCTGAGCTGGTTTGTGGTGGGGCTGCAGGACACGTGACCCTTCACAGGGAGGCGGGCAGAGGACAGGTCCCTTGGCCATGGGGGTCAGTTCAGTCCCTTTCTGACGGTCAGATGGAGCTAAGGCTCCCAGTCACCCATCTCTATACAGTGATAGGAGTGACATACACGAGTGGCCTCCCTCTCTTCCTCCATTTACCACCTAAACATTCTCTTCGGGCTGCTTTTGGCTTTCCGAGCCTCAGGCTGAGCTCAGAACAGAAGCACGGTGTCCTCTCAGCACATGCCCCTCACCCCCCGCCTCATACCCCTCAACTCCCAGCGAGCAGCAGAGCCAGCAGGCCCTGCTATGCGGCGGAGACCCAGGCTCTGGGGCTGCTGGCAAGCGCAATGCTTGCCTGCCCAGTCTGCTCATCACGATAAATTAATCTAAAGGTTGTATGTTTAAAAAGCTTTTCAATAATGCAGGTTTTTGCGCTTCCCTGGATGCTTGGGGAGGGATCATGGCAAAGTCATGTTGCTTAAATGAGGATTTTTCTCACACTTTAAATTCATTATAAGTTTCTTCTGCTTTTTAGAAAGATACTTGTCCTTTTAATTGATCCTATGAGAGCAATGTGTTGGATGCAAACGAGGGTTTGAGCAGCTCGCAGTGCATTACGAAGGGCTTCCCATGATAACATTCGGGGATCGCAGATGCATACAGTGTCCGGGAGAGGGGCCTGTGTCAGGAGGACCACAGGGGACTGGCTGGGCGGGAGCTGGACTCCCTCCCCCAGCTCCAGGCAAACAGAAAGGAACGCAGATTTAATCTGATTACGGCAATACCTCTGTATCTGGGGCAACTCTGAAACTGGTGAAATGGTCACCTGGTGAATTGACAGCTGTTTCTCTGCCATTGTTGCCTCAAAACAAAAGGACGGCACGGCTTCACCTAGATGTCATCATGGAATGAATGACGCCTGGTGGGCCAGACACGTGGTCTCAGGCAGGCCTCACAGCCGCCCTGTGATGAACAGGACAGTGCAACTAAACAACAAGCATCCCTCACCCAAATCTGGCCAGCTCTTTTTCCGTGGAGAATAAGTTCAGACAGGGAGTTTAGGTGGCGAGAATACCACTTTATCCTCCTGTTTGGTTCCTGAGTTTTGGGTAGCAAGTAGCAAAATTTCAGCTAGCATGTTTATCAAAAATGTTATCTGAATCTATTCGGCTCTTGAGTTTGGAAAGCCAGTGATACCTGTGCGCTGGTCTCGGTGTCAGCTGAGGCCAAGACCATTGGCGTGATGACAACCCTAACCCCAAAGGGACAGATTTGCTGCCTCGTGCAGGGCATGCAAATCAAGTGGCCCAAAAACTGATGCACTGCCCTTGTTCATTCATTTGCTCAAGGGCATGAAACTTAGATTGGAGTGGCCAAAGCGGAACTGAAAACTGGGAGTTGGAGGTGCTGAGCCTCACCACCCTGGGGTAGGACAGAGCTGGGGGTACTTTCCCCTCACCTCAAACATGGAGAAACGGGCCCCAAGGAGGCTTCCATGAGAGCTTGCTGTGTGCCCCCAAACCAAAGGCAGTGTGCCACTGGGATGATCTGCTTGTTAATATTACTTTAGTTAGTCATGGGCTCTTAAATACTCAGGTCATATAAAACAATACCTAACATTTATCATGGTCAGCACTGGGTATTATATCCCAATTTTACAGATGAAGAAACAGAAACTCAGAGAAGTTAAGTAGCTAACCCAGAGTCACACAGCCAGCAGGTAGCAGAACCAGGATTGAACCCAAATGCCTGGTTCTAGAATCTTCTCATGCATTTAAACACACTTTGTAGTTCATCATCCTTCTCTGGGAAGGAGAATCCCACTGTCCTCAGAGCGGGTTGCCCTAAATTTCAAGTCCCAGCTCAATGGTCTCCCCTTCCAAGAAGCCTTCCCTCTACCAGGCCCCAAGTGCTTTCTCCTGTGTGCCTACATCCCTGGATTCAGCTCTACACAGTAGCAAGGCTCTGGACTGATGGTAAAGAGTGTGGACTGAGTCAAACCTGGTTCAAATCCTCATTCTGCCACTTACTAGCTGTGTGACCTTGGACAGTTCTTTACGAGAGGTTAAGCTAGGCTTCAAGTTCCCTGTAAAATAGGCATAATAACCACCACATAAGGTTACCCCGGACTAAATGAGATCATGCAAGTAAGGTGACTGGAATGATACCTTGCTCTCTGTATGTGCTAAATAGTCCTTGACCAGGTAGGTCAGTGACAGAGGCGGTGA